TCGGTGTTCCTTTTTTTTTTTTTTTTAGCAGAAGTTATGCGTTGAGCCTCTCTTGTTTTGATCGATTACTAGTCACAATATCTATCACAATATTTGTGGACGAAAGTCAATATTAGTTCACGAAATCCCGTTTCCCAGGCAGGACTTCCTTTGGGTCAAGAATTTGCACCAACGTCTGCGACAAAAAACTCATTATTTTTGCCACGACTCATACGCACGTATGGAGCTGCACATTAAACTGATTTTGTATTATATTTTCCCTCTATGCGAATACATACCATAGTTGATAGACTATTAACTACTGAAACTACACCATGCATTGTTTAAGCATACGAGACATTTGTTATGAGTTAAATTTTAAAAACGGCTTGAGTCAGTATATTGTCATTATTGAAATCGACTTCCCAAAAATGTAACTAGAAAAATTACACTTTTCTTTAATATTTTTAAAGCGTAAAAACGTATTTTTATTACTAATGGAAATCAGCAGATACTTCATTCTGAAAATCTGGTCGTCCATAAAATTTTCCATACGGTAAGAAAACATATGATCTCAGTTATTTTATGATACAAGTAATAACGATAAATATCTCCTTTTTTATTATCTGCGAGTTGCCATGTCATTTTTGACAAAGTCAATGGAGTGTTTTCTGTTGCCTTCCATATGGTTTTGAATTCAAAGTTGACTGGCTGCCAACCAAGGCTGTCCTGCTATTTAATCCATATCTGTGAAATGAAAAACGTATTCATGCTTTTCCTAAGGGCATTTGTGCGAATTGAAAGCAACAGACTAGCCTGAAACTTTGCTCGTTGCTTCCCTTTTCCGCGTATGTAACTTTTGCCCACACATCCATATAACTACTTCTTTTATGTGCTATGTCTCTTCAAGACGTAGGCAACTCCAAAACTTTCTGTCTTTTATTGCTTTGTGTAACTTTTGACCCTTTAGTAAAAAAGATTTGTAAAGGGCCTTTACCATCCCTCTTTGTCCCTATTTGGCCACACATTCACGCAAATTCGTTAAGTAGGTTACTCGCTGTTTTCTCCTGTTTCTCTTGCTTTCAACATGTCCTGTGAGTAGCCCTCTTTCGTCATCCGCTGCCTCTTTTCTAATTCTCATTTAATCAGTTGGTATATTTCATTATTCAAAATTGTTATTTTTTAATATGAAAATATTAATAGAGATATGACAGGGAAGGAAAAAAGGAGAATTTTGAGAGAGCTCGAATTAATTGAAATATTTAGTAAAAATCGCTGTAAAATTTTTAAAGTGATTATTTTTTTTTCTTTCAGGTTATAAGCCTCAAATATAATTTGAAAACTAAAATTGAAAAGTTGTACAAAAGAGCTATATTTTACTTTATTTTCCAGCGTTTTAAATCTCTAAGACATCTTGACGAAATTTATTTTATAAATGATTTTATGAATAAAATCATGAAATTAAGAATATTGTATTGACACATAAAAATGATAATGGTAATATTAGATGTTACCTTACAATATAGAAACATTCGGCATACATTGATTAAGCAGCCAGTGCCAAGGACGGTAGAAAATTTATAAAGATTTTCTCTTAAAACAATTTTTCAGCAAAATAGGTTTCTCAAGTCCAGTAACTGTTATCGCTCTTCCCAGTATTGATAGGATTTTCCTTCATAGTTTTTTTCTTTGAAGTAGTATGGAATTTTGATCATGTCATTATTTTCTCTCCGAGTTACATGTGCTGTCTATTTTAGTCGTTGATGTTGTTGAAACTTCTTGTGATGTCATTTCTATTATTTGGTACAGTTCTTTGTTTGAGATTCTGTAGCGCCAGTCAGCGAGGTTTGAAGATGGATGGTCTTCGTTAAGACCTACAGGTTTCATTTGCACAAAGCCATTTTAATCATTGAGCCGAGAAAACGGCTGTATACAACTGACAGTACAGATATTTCCGAACGAGTTTGGCACCATGCATGACATTCATATGAAAGTTTCGATTTGACAAGGCTATTTAAGGACATGACCCAAGGTTAATGTTGTGAAGCAATTTGCTGTGTTGGGTGAAACTACCCCTTGTACAGCTTATTTTATTTCAATTTTCATATCTACTGTAAATTTGTTATAATTGATCCATACACCGAGGTATTTGAAGTGTTTAGTATTTACTAATTCCCCATTGTAAATTTCAGAGTAGGTAACATCATTGCTTTCCTTACAATTCTAGATCATAATTTCTATTTTGGAAAATGTTTTGTCTTGAGTCTTGTTCGTTGGAACACTTGGGAGAAAAAATGTGGTCGTTTTGATCAAAATCATTCTTATCACATCTATAAATACCTATGTTGACATTTCCAGTCATCATCAGTACATCATTAAGGAAAGCAGTATTACTTTATTCTATTAGTATATTCGTTTGGGATATTGTATATTTACCTTCTATGTGCCGCGTTTCTTCAGGACACAGACGATCATGTCTGTTCAATACAACCTAGCCCTTGTGGCCCTTAGAAGTTTTTCTCCTTTTAATAAGTTTCTCGCCCTCCGCCATCCATTCACAAAAGCTCGTCAGCTTGATAGTTCGCTGCCTTCCCCTAGCTGTTCTGCCCTAAATATACCCTGTGACGGATTAGTTTTTCAAGCCTTCTTTATTCGTTATATGTTTAAGAATTTCAGCTGTCTCTTTTTGATTCTCAATATAAGTGTATTTTTTTGTCAATATTTTCTTTAAGATTTCCTCGTGGCTTACTTGCTCCATCGATGGAAATCTCAGTATCCACCTGTAGAATCAAATTTCTTACTCTGGTGTGAAATTTGAAAGAAATTTACACTTATTAAAGTTAAAAAAATAATAATATTGAAAACAAAATGTATAAAACAAGGTTGCGCAAATTTTTCTTTGTGCGCCAAATACTTAGGCAAAATAGCAATTCTAAATACAATTCTGTTAGGCTCATAAAAACAATTATCAGCAAAATATACACTTACTTCGATACATTCGACTTATCCGCATGCGTCACTGTATTCCTAGTCTGGTTTTCTTTTACACAATAGTTCAGTTTTACAAACTGAGATTCAAAAATGAGATAAATCTCATTTGTTTTAGAATAAGTTTAAAATCAGGTATAGAGAGTTATCAGTTATAGTTAAGTGTATGAGTATTGAAACACATTATTTTGATTTGGCCTTGTTAGATAGCCCACCATAAGAGAAGTATAAAACTAGAAAATCAAATTGTAAAATGAAACAATAAATTTTTATACATATAAATCAATTAAGGTCTCTACAAATAAAATTAATGTATTTTGGTTGATACAAGGTCGTCAAAATGTTCGTAGTAGTCCTTGCGTTTATGTGTACGTAGGCAGGAACGTATGTGTGGATGTATGTATGTATGTATGATTGTTATCGTATGGTAGGAATGTCTTTGAAGTAATCGCTCAGTCTTAAAATGTTCCGTTCGTTTATCAAGTATAAAAGAGCTGAGTGAGAAAGGTAGAGATAATAATAACGATCGCTTGACGTTTGTCAAAGGACGTGTTAATACGCTCGTCTCCTTGTCTCTGGTTGACAGGCGAATTTGCCTGTCTTTTATTTTGTTGATGGGGCTTGAAAAGTTAATTTGGGAATTCAGTCCCGGATATGATTCGGGCCTTTCCATTGGACGATGAACAAACTTCGCGTCGGCTCGCGAAAAGTTCCGTAAAAAAATTTGTTTCTGAGGATTAAAGATTATTTCAATTTTTTTTTAAATATTTCCTAGTTTTCTATTGGCCGAAAAACATTTCGCATCAAGGTGTGAAATTTCACAAGTTTTGTTTTGGATTCGCTTTTGCGTGTGTGTTAAGCAAAGTTTGTAAATTCGAGTCTTTTTAATTTTTAACAAAATCAATGAGTCAGTGTTTAGCATTTGAATTTTAAATCTAGATCTTGTTTTGTTCACTACACAGGATTAATAACTCAAATTTTAGTGACAAACTTTCATAAATTTGCACAACTATAAAAATTTGTATATCACTCTAAAGTTGTAGAATATTCTCTTTTGCTTCTTTCCGTTTTTTTCTATTTTTCGTCGTTGTCTTTTAGTTCAGCTTTGTTTAGATCCCAGAAACACCTAACGTTATTTGCCTCTGAAAGCCGAAACCTTAGACTAACCAGATTCGAATTTATATCATTAAAATCGGCTCCAAATTGAATTAAAAAAATCTATTCCTATTCACTTTTTTATTTATTTGATATCAGTGGGTTTTCCGCTTTTTAATGTTATACATCACACGTTTTGACGTAAATCTTTTCAAACACAAATGTTTCCATTTTGTCTATCACGCTAATTTTTTTAATTTTTCTAAATAATGGCACAAATATAATAATGATCAAACTAGATTTGTTTCATTTTTTCCCTGTGTGTCACTTCAAGCGTGTTGATTGTTATCCTTCCAATTTAGGTTTTAACGGATCAATATATTTAAAGAAAACTGAATGTATTTTTTTTTTCAAATATTTCATTATTAGTTATGATTGGTTTGTTCATCTTTTTATCACCAAGTGTTTGACGATTTTTTCTCCAGTAGTGAAATTAGAATACAAGAAAAGAGAGTAGCAAAAAAAAAAAAAAAACAACAAAAAAAACAAACAAAAATAAAACACGTATTTGATCCTAGTGAACCAATTGTTATTTACTCTTTGGAATGTCCATCAATGATATTTATTTAATCAGAAAAAACTTTATCTTTAAAAAGAACTTTAAAACATTTAATCTTGACGATTACAGGGATTTCCCATATAGAAAAAAAATTAGATAACTCATTATCAACAAAAAGGAGTTTTATTGATTGAGAGAATCAGAAACAATTTGTTTATTTACACTAATTTAAGACGGGTGTAAAAGGTATGTAAAAGGTAATTTAAGACGGGTGTATGCCTAATAAAAATTAAGCTAAGTAGGGAAAATATTCATATAAAAGTGAAGTTATATATCAGTTGATATATTTTTAAATTATCCTTGGTAGATAGAGATGTTGTTAATGATCTGTCATTAGTTGATAGGTTGTTGCAGCGGGCCGAGAGGTGTGAGTGCCAATCGACCGTACAACTAAAATAGGGGACACAAAGGCAAGGAGATGGCAATAGCAAAGAAGGATGACAAACGCAGATGGTCCGTTGTAGACGATGGAAATCGTGTCTTTATTTGCGAACGGTGGATGGATCGTCAGCGGGTGCTGGAATAGGTAGCGGGACGTCAGTAGAGGGCCGCAGGGGTGAGCTGGAGGAGTGCTGGAAGCTGCAGGTGTGAGCTGGCGTCTCAGAGGGAAGGCAGTAGCAAAGAGTGGAGTGAGTGGAGCCTTGAAGAGTGGTGATCGAATGACTTTCGGAAGTTAGCCCTGAAAAGGACTGTTTGAACAACTGCTGCTACTGCTGCTGGGTCCCGTCAGCTGCTGGGCTTGGTCGACTTGACTGGGCGCGTCAAAGTCGCGAATCAGGGAGGCTTCCTGCTCCCTGGCCGGGTAAAAACCGCTGCGAAGTCTCGGGCATCTAGATATGACGGTTCATACAAGAGAAGCGGTGACGCTAAACAAGTAAATGAATATAATTAATTTCGGGCCGTATTAATTACAGTCAAAAGCGTGTTCGGTGTTTGTTGACTGTATTTAAATTAATTTCGGTTCGAAATTAAAGGTCTTTTATTTTTGTTTAGTGGCGAAAATTGAGTTTTGTGTGTTTCTGTCAGTTTGAAAGGATGTCGTTGCTATTTTTAGCACACAAGGGTCGTGACCTTTCTCTACCGGCAGGCATATCCGGGGTTGTTTAAGAAAAGGTGGGAGTGGTGTTTGGGCACACTGCGACAAGGTCAACGTTGTAGTGAAACCGACTGTTGTTGAATGAAGAGTATCGAATGAGAGTCGGTGTGGCAAACTTGTTTAGTTATTAATTACTCCAATAATTAAATACGTAAAATTTCTTACGGGAACATTTTGCGGTGAAAAAGAGTACGTGCAAAAAACAATAGACAGATTGATTTGCAATGCAAGATAACATTTATTAGACAAATTAACAAAAGGAAAGTTTAAGACAAGAATTTTTTTGTTAAACTTAAATTATATACACAACGAAATGCTCATTATATGTTTGAGTGAGAACTTATTTTGTTGGTGTATTTCATGGGTGTAGCATTCAAAGCACTTTTAGCTTCAGTGTGGAAAGTTCATGACACCATTTTCTGAATTTCTCCTCTTTTGTTTTAAAGAGGAGAAATTCAGAAAAGAGAGGGTTCACGTGTTTTATATTCGAGAGCTACTTCTGATATGCATTTTATTTAGAGATGCTACTGCTATTATGTTTAAGGGCACTACACTTATTGAAGCTCGTACAGCTTTGAAAAATCATGATAGTAGTATGTATCATCGAGTTTAACTTATTGGGTTCGTTTCACATATCCAAAATTGTCTGCATTGCTTTGTATGTTGCATGGAATCGTTGGTCGACCACGTGATATCTTGTCTGAAATCCTCTTTTTATTGCTGAAAATGGTAATTGATCTGCTTGTACCAATCTTTGGCATATTGAGAATGTATAGGAATTCAACTGATACCTCGCTTATATTTACTTATTTAAAGGGGACCTGTGTACTACCATCGGCTTGCCCATGTCTGTATAGAGGCCAGTGGTATAAACCAAATGAATCAATCAGAATTGGATGCACAGAACTGTAAGAACTTTTGTCTTTTTACAAATTTTTAGTATAAGATTGAAGTGATTTAAGAAACTACCATTCTTTTTATAAAGTGTTTTTTCTGTAAAATGAAGTTTTGAAATCATTAAATTAAATAAAAATTCCAATGCAAAAATTTTGAAAATCATGACATTATTGATAAAGTGAATACTGAAATCCAAAATATTGATAGATAGACAGAAATAAATATAAAAAAAGATATTTACATAGTCATTTGAGAATGAAATAGGAAAAATATTAAAGGTCCATATGTTTTATGACTATCAGGCAATCTTCAATTTATTGACAATAAACAAATATGCAGAGAGCATTATTAATTGTAGAATTGATCACATTGCATTATTTTTGCTCATTTTCAAAAACATCTGATTTACTTTTTAGATTTACTACTGGAACCTGAAAATTTATATAATTACAACTTGAATTACAATTAAATCTTTCATAATTAAAAGTAACTTATTAATTTGAGATTTTCCCTACAGGATCTGGTGACTCAGACTTTGATGGATTTGAGGATTTTAAATTATTTCATTTTTATATTTTGAAACTATTATTATTATTATTAAATACTGATGTCTGTTTTTTGCTTATATTTTACTCCATTGAAACATATTTTGTAAAGTAGTTTTAATTTAATCAAAAATTTGAAGATAAAAGTTTTGATTGAACTAAAGATAATGATAGTCTATTGTAATTATAATCTATTCCTACATTTTGGAAAAAATATCACTTTATTTATTTCAGTGCCTGCACCAATCGAAAATGGATTAAAAAGAAGGAATTTGATTGCCCAGGTGAGTTAGCAAGAATAATTAGGATATTAAATTTAATGATGTATTACAACCATATTAGTAGGAGTGCCTATTGTGGAGAGATAGACCAAGTTGCTAGGATATGTTTCTCTGAGAAGTGTTTTGTGTTCATTAAGAAACTTTTAGAAAGTCTCTTCTAAGTCATCAGTGAGAAAGATGGTGGCTGAAAATATTCTGAAGTTTCCTATAAATAGAATAAAATAATAATTATGATAGAACAATAGAAAAAGTTTCATTTTAAGCTTGGTATTTTAATAATGTAGATGTCTTTTGAGGACAAAATACTAATTAGTGTAGACAGTATATTAATTTTGATATATTTGTGTCATTCTCTAATGGTTACCACTTGACATGGTTGAGGGCTTACATGGTCCAATGACTCAGTGATGCCGTTCTAAAATTCTGGTAGTGTCACACTTGATGACAAAGCCAAAGATGAGGACCCAGACTAAGCACAACCAACCCCAAAGATCCCAATAGTGGAACAAGCAGATGATAATTATAACAGATCTCAATGGTTGAATCAGCAGATGAAGAGGCTACACCTAATGGACATGTTACAGAAGATGCCACTCAGAATTATAACAGTTAGAGGGTCTGTTGCAGTTTTATAACTAGATTCTACATGTCTCATTCTATATGTGCCGCAGAGGAAGGTTATGAAATCAAGTGTGTGCATCACTTCCTGGTGTGTTGAGGGTCACCTTTAACAGATTCATGCCATCAGCAGTTTTTCTACTCTGATTTTCCTTCACCTCCAGCCAATCCTTGCAAAAGCTTCATTCAGTCTTGAACATCAAGCAGAATTACTATGTGATGAATGGCAAAGTACTGGAAAGAGCCAATAGTCAAAGCATTGAATCACTGATCATTAAACATTGCCTTTGATGGTCAGGACATTTAGCAAGAATGGAAGAGACAAAATTTCCACATCAAATCGTATTCACTTCAGGGAAAAGACTAAGGGATTGCCCTCTTTGAAGATACAAGGACCAACTCAAAATAACACTGAAAGCCACTGAACTTGAGCCTAAATCATTTGAAACACAAGCACAAGACTGTACCAACTGGCAATGTTCCATCACCATCAGAACCAAAAACTTTGATGAAAGAAAGAAGTCAAATGACAAGAGAGAAAGGCTTGACAAAATCAACTTCATCCTCTACCAATATTACTATGTAGTGAATGTCATCAGCTCTTCCATGTAATAATTGGTCTACTTAATCATCAACACCATCACCAGAAAGGAAGTGATCAGCAAAGAAGAAATTAAATTCTTGGATATGAGATAAAGTCGATGATTTTGTGAGATTGGATTCATTTTGCCTACTTTTAGTCAATTTAACCATGAAAAAATTACTCATTTCTCAAAAAACAGAATGAATTGTAAAGATGTACTGGAAAACAATTGGAAAAAATAACAGCTTCAATATAATCTAAAAACAATTAATAAATTAATATTTATTGGTAAATTAGTATGTTGACATTTGATATGAAAATTGTCCTGTAAAAAATTGTATCTATGTAAAATTTTGATTTTCTTTAAAAGTTCAGACATCATAGAAATGTATTCTGTTAATATAAATTCAACTGTTTGTTTAACTGATTGCATAACAAGTGATAGTTTTGTATTTATTGCCATTCATTTTAGTAAAGGATTATTTAAATTTTGATTTGCATTTCAATAACAGAAAAGATATCAATAATAATTACTTATTAAATAAGAGTAAACTTTAAGGCAGATCAAAAATAATAATTGGTTTTAAAACATATTGGAATATGTAGAATATATTAAGATATTTTTATATGAATTTAAAAATGTTTCTTTTTATTGTTTAGCAATTTGTTGGGCATCAGGTGACCCACACTACATGACATTTGATGGAAAGCACTATACATTTATGGGTGCTTGTGGCTATGTTCTGACTAAATCCAAAGACTTCAATGTTACAGCAGAGAACATCAAATGTGGAACATCAGGAGTAACTTGCACAAAATCAGTTGATGTTAAAATAAAACAGAACAGAATCACTTTAATCCATGGCGGAAATGTTACTGTAAATGGAATCAATCTACCCAACTACCAATTCAAAAGTGGAGATATTGATGTATTTAAAGCTGGAAATTTCCTCCATATCATAACTCATATAGGATTGAAAGTTCAATGGGATTTTCGTAAGTTTGTTTTTAATAGAACTTTGAAATTTTTTTAAAAGCTTCTGTCATGGTGATGGCAATGTTAGCTGTTTCCCTACAAGGAAAAATTTTGTATTCATTGACCGAGTAAACATTGAGTTTAACTTATTGGGTTCATTTCACATATCCAAAATTGTCTGCATTGTTTCATATGTTGTATGGAATTTTTGGTCAGCCTTGTGGTATTTTGAAGTCTGAAATTCTCTTTTTATTGCTGAAAATGGTAATTGATCTGCTTGTACCAATCTGTTCAGACTATCCACTTTCTGTTAAAACAATTTCTTAGGAAAACAGGTCTCTCAAGTTCAATAGCTGTTATTGCTCTTTGCAGTATTTATGGGGGTTTCCTTTCTAACCTTTTGTTTGAAATGATGTGGAATGTTAACATCTTGATTATGTTCTTATTTTTTCTTCTACTTATATGTGATATTTCAGTTGCTTCTGCTGTTGATAATCTTCAAATGATGTGGTTTATGTTATTTGCTACAGTTCTTTGTGATTCTGTAGTGTCATTCCACAATATTCAAAGAAGGATGATCTTTGCCAAGACCCTCAGGTTTCATTCACTCAATTAATTAAACTTCAGATAGCTTTTTTTGCTTCCATTGCACAAAATCTGTATTAGGTGGATTTAATCCTTTCATCAAACTGACATGACTCATACATCTAATTTAAAGGCATGACAATATTGACTCTTGAAATAATGCTGGATCCTGGATGATATACAAGCTTCTCAAAGGTCAGGAGCTTTGATTAAAATTAATAATACTCTTTTCTCTCATATTACTTGAATAATCTTCAGAGTTTTGTTTACTTAAATAGAGTGTCTACAGTGAAATCATGCTAAAAAACACTGGTTCTTGTTTGATCAACCAAAGTTAAGCAGCATCGAGCCTAGTCAGCATTTAGATGGGGGAGCCACTTGTGAACACTGGGCATGGTAAGCAACCTCCTACAATCTGAAATATGTTTCAGCTTTAAATAAACCACAAACGGTTGTTAAGGTAAAAAAAAAACAAATCAATCAATACTTAAATAGAGAGAGATTTATTGAAATTTCATCCATGAATCTCAAGATATAAAAATAAAAAATAAAAATTTACTAATTATTTTGATGATTTTATTAGTTTTATTTTTAATCATTTATTTAATTCATTAGTGGCTAATGAAACATCTCATGCTCCTTATACTTGATACAATCAAGTCCATAGACAAATAGAAAATTAATTCCATTTCAATATTATATTCCACTATGGTCATGCAATCAAATTTTATGATGCCAATCAATGTTTTCATAATAAAATTAGTATTCACCTACTGATATTAGTAAGATTAGTAAGAACTACTGATATTAGTAAATTAGTATTCACCTACTTATATCAGTAAGATTTTCAGGGTATACTTATTTATAAAAGCAATATATTGTGTAAGTGCCAGCTTATTCATCTTTATTATTCATAATAACTAATCGATGCAAACAAAGTGTAATATAAATTTTTGTTTATATTGGATTTGATTAAAAAAATCTATCATAGACGTGAAGAAATTTGTAATTTATTATTGTACATGTTTACATATAGGCTCATTAACATTATATAAATGTAATTTATATATTATATAATATTTATATATTATATATTACACATGCAGGGTGTTCCAGAATTAACTATTTCAAAGAAATTGGCTTATTTTTTAAAAATCCTGACACAATTTTATGTCTATTACTTAATCATGATATAAAACAAATACATTTATAAATCTGAAGTCAAAGTTTTTTTAAAATTTTCAACATGCCTTCTGTCTGTATCCCTGTAAATTTCAGGAATTTCTCTTGCACTGCTAACTGAATGTGTTCTTTAAGCTAACCTAAACTATCGATCTTTTGATAAACCTTTGTTTTTATGAA